AAAAAAAAAAAAAAAAAAAAAAAAAAAAAACAAACAAAAACAAACAAACAAACATATACGAAAACAAAACAAAACAAAATGTAAATTTTTAGGTCATCTGTATCAGTATTGCTAAAGTGCTATTTGCTGTTCTTAGCTGTTGTTGAATTGAACTTCTGCAGCTTATCTTGAGATATATGATCAGACATATTGAAAATGCTGTTTATACGAGTAAACTGCGGTGTTAACAACAGTAACTAAAAACACATGATGTAGTCTCGTGTGTAGAAAACACACATACCCAAAACAAACAAACATACACACACACACACAATGAAAGAGAAAGAAGAATAAAGAAAAAGGTTTCGTTCTGATTTCCTTTTTCTGCGTTTTTTTTTTCTCTTTTTTTTTGTGTGTGTGTGTGCTCAAGAGATGAATTCTGTTTTCATTCTGCTTTGTCCCATATATAAAGAAACACAACTACAATCACAACTACGAAAAAAAAAAAAAAAAACATCGAGAAATAAAAAGGAAAAAAGATCACTTTGAACAAACTGAAACAGATGTATATGAGGGAATGGGATGGAAAATCACCTCTTGGTGAGTTGGTAATGATGAAAAGATGATGAAAAAGAATTTAGCAAATATTTCTTGTCGTCATTTTTTTTCTTTTTTATCACTATTGCATTAATTCTTTTTTTTTTTTCTTTCTTTCTTTCTTTCTTTCTTTCTTTTGTTTGTGATTGTCTTTTTTTTTATCTTTTTTTTTTTTACCCTACTGTTCTATTTTGATGTTAGAGGGGAGAAATTCCCTTGATTTATTTATTTTCTCACACAATTTCTCTTTTTCTTTCTTCTTTCTCTTTTGAATTCTGGTAAAGTGACGTTGTTTGTGTGGGGGGGAGTTAGTAAAAAAAGAAAAATCAAAAAGAGAGAGAAAAATACACAAATATTAAGATCAAAGAATATCATCATCATAAAGAATCATATATTGAGAAAAAAAAAAAAAAGAACAGGGAAGTGATAGTATCATTGCTTTTTCTTTTTTCTTTTTCTTTTGATAACGTTGTATCCGTCTCTGTTTGAGTAGGGTACAGATCAACAGAAAGAAAAAGAAAAAAAGAAAAAAAAAAGGCATTCTACCGCTATCATCATTAAACAGGATCATCTTCCAGTAGTTACTTCACACAGTTATTGCTAATATCATAAACGAAGGACTTTGTTTGTTGTTGCTACTAGTGATCTTTGTTTATATATTATTTTTGTGTGTGTTTATTTCGTTTCGTGGACAATATCGGACCTGAATAATCTCAAAGAGCGGAGATTATTTTTTGGATACACATTTGCATATATATATATATATATATATATATATATATATACAGTACGGGCAAGTGTGAATAATCAGAAAGAGAGATAGCAGGAACGATAAATCGAAAAGAAATAAGGACAAGGAGAAAAAAAGAATCAACACTGAAATAATAGTCATTATAAAACAAAGGAGATAGAAGAAGAAGAAGAACCATGCAAGAAATGAGAATTGAAGATAATAACTGGAATTCAAATGTACGACACTCAAAAAGGAGTAAAAGTAAGAATATCGTCTCATTAAGGGCCCATGATTCTTCTTGTGCCTCATCTCTGTTGGAGTGGGTGGACACTATTCATCATCACAACACAGCAGTACCCATTCACCGTAGTCGTTGTGCTCTTCTTCCTTATTATCATCATCCTTCTAGTTGTGATGATAGTGATAATAATAATAATAATAATAATAATAATAATAATAATAA